ATGTCAAGTTAAGTGAAGTAAAGTGAAGTGAAGTATAGTGAAGTGAAGTTAAGTGAAGTAATGTCAAGTGAAGTGAAGTAAAGTAAAGCGAAGTATAGGGAAGTAAATTGAAGTAATGAGAAGTATAATGAAGAGAAGTAAGTAAAGTAAAGAAATATTTTAATACTATACTACAAACCCACCTTATATATCCTCCCTTTGACAATAAACAGTTCTATGAGCGTGGGGGTGTGTTCGATCGCCGCGTCGATATAGTGCAGCGCTCTATCTGTGTCCTTCTTGTAGTCGTAATGTTGCGCCAAGAAGTAATACGCCCAGAGTAGAGTAGAGTAGAGTAGAGTAGAGTAGAGTAGGAGTAGAGTAGAGTAGAGTAGAGTAGAGTAGAGTAGAGTAGAGTAGAGTAGAGTAAAGTGCAGTAAAGTAAAGTAATGTAAAGTAAGGTGAAGTAAAGTGAAGTGAAGTAAGTGAAATAAAGTAAAGTGAATTTAAGTGAAGTGAAGTGAATTAATGTCAAGTTAAGTGAAGTAAAATTATATAAAGTGAAGTAGAGTTAACTAAAGTGAAGTAAAGTGAATTTATGTAAAGTAAGGTGAAGTAAAATGATATAAAGTGAAGCATAGTGAATTGGAATATAGTGAAGTAAATTGAAGTGAAGTAAAGTAAAGTAAAGTAAAGGAATATCAAAATTCCTACCTTATATATCCTCCCTTTGACAATAAACAGTTCTATGAGCGTGGGGGTGTGTTCGATCGCCGCGTCGATATAGTGCAGCGCTTTATCTGTGTCCTTCTTGTAGTCGTAATGTTGCGCCAAGAAGTAATACGCCCAGAGTAGAGTAGAGTACAGTAGAGTAGAGTAGAGTAGAGTAGAGTAGAGTAGAGTAGAGTAGAGTAGAGTACAGTAAAGTGAAGTATAGTGAAGTAATGTCAAGTTAAGTGAAATAAAGTAAAGTAAAGGAATATCAAAATTCCTACCTTATATATCCTTCCTTTGACAATAAACAGTTCTATGAGCGTGGGGGTGTGTTCGATCGCCGCGTCGATATAGTGCAGCGCTCTATCTGTGTCCTTCTTGTAGTCGTAATGTTGCGCCAAGAAGTAATACGCCCAGAGCAATGCGCTGGCGGGCTGCTTCGCTTCGTCAGGTTCCGAACTGGAAAACATCAATACATACTATATCAAGTAGATGTATTCTTCTTTTCGTTTGGGACACCGAGTCGTTCAACGACCCGATGAACCCTAGGGTCAGAGTTTTTCAACCGCCTACTGCAAGTAGCAGGCCTCTGACATGGTTGTGTAATGACCGCCATCATAGACAGCAACCGGGACCGACGGCTTTACGTGCCCATCCGAAGCACAAAACCATCTTACTTGCGGACAATCAGGTGGTTCAGCCTGCAATGTCCTAACCAGACTGGGACCAAATTCACAAAGTGATAAAATGTCAACTTTGTGAGTGACCCCACCGGGAATTGAACCCGGAACCTTTGCGTGGCAGGCAGGCATACTAACCACTGCGCCACATCGGCTGTCGTATACATACTATATCAAGTAGATGTATTAAAAAACAAAAACTAGACTGCGGTCATTTTAAAGTTGCATTTTGGAGCATTCCGCGAAAACTGCAACCAAATGTCCGGCACAAGACAGTATGGTAGCACCTAATCCTGCTTAAGATACAAAATCATAGAAAGTGTAAAACAGTAACAAAAACCGTCTCTTTGACGGAAGTATTAAAATTAGGGGTGTCCGGCACAAGACGTTTTTGTGGAATGCTCCTTTTGCTGTAAAAATCCGCCGTCTTGAATCTGAAATTTTTAATATAGCACATGTCACCCGCGCGGCTGAGACGTATCTAACGACACCTCATATGTCAAAATCCAACTATCCGTTTGGGCTGTAGCCCGTGAAAAGGAATTTTCTTGCCCACATACAGGGTGGGCCAAAAGAAGTCATCCGATGTGATTTGCCTCCCATTTTTTTATTAGTCATTAAAATTCACTTCTGTTTTCGGAAATCAATCTTTTGAAGATTAAAAATTTATGTGAATATGTTTTTAAAAAAGACATTGGTCAAATTGCCCCCTCCTGAGTCAAATCAAAAATGGTCTCTGAAAAGCTCCCTTCTCGTGTTAGAACGGCCCCCATTATTTTATGAATATGTTAAAATAAGTTTTGTTATCACTGAATAATTCTTCAAAGATGTGAACTCAATGCTGTAAAATAAAAAATAAAGAAAGCAGTTAGATGCCAACTCCAGATTTGATGCAAGTTGATGAAAACCAATCCACAGGATTTGGTTTGTCGGTCAGATCTCCAGATCTGACAACGCCAGAATTCTCCCAATGGTATTTTTGAAAGCTCAAGATTACAAATTACAATTCATAAAACTTTCAAGTCCCTGAAGCCACCAAAAACGAAAAAAAAACATGGTCAGGAATGTATGGAAATTAGCGTGTTTAAAGTTAAAACGTACGGTATAGTAGGCAAGAACCTTTAAGTGAGTGTTCCCGTGCGTGTTCCAGTTTGGCCCCGCCTTGGAAACGAATCTTTAGGCTATTCTTTAGCTATTTGGAGCCGGGGCCTTGCTGGCATATTTACAAAAAAAAAAATGGCAGCCATTTCAAACTTTTTTTGTTGGCCAAAATTTTGTTATTTTGTAATAACTCAAAACTGGTAAGTGCTATAAATAAACCTTGTATGGAAGATATGTTACGCGTAAATTTCTGCACAACATTGCCCTTAATAAAATTTTTCATAATCTAATACTTTACGAGTAAAACGCTACTCAAAATGGCACTTTTTGCTGGAAGCTCACTAACTCAAAAGTATGAATTTGGTCGTGAAGTTGAGGATTAAAAAGCTATTACTATGTGGGCAGACCATGCTGCGGTGTCCTGGCTGACTTTTAGTTAAATGTTTTCCGCCCAGCGCCACCACATTTTTAAGCAAACCATCAAGTTTCGTGCAAACTTTCATCCTCTGTCTTACCACCTTAAAGGATGTTTTTTTTTAAATGCTTTCATAGTCATAATTTTCCTTCACCGGTTTAACTTTGAGCAAAATTTCAAAGTTCTAGGTCGAGTAGTTTTGCCTGTGCGCTGTAATACAATTGTTGGGAAATTACCAAAGTTTGTTCGTAAAGTCGAAAGAGTAAGACCCCGGTAACACAGGCGACTTAATTGCTCGGTGACTCCCGGATCTCTGGTTTTTCTAACATGTGTGAGAGGTGCTTCCAATAAGTTGCCAACAAAAGTCACCTCTGTGGGCACGCCCTGAACTTGACAATTGTAGTGTTGCTACTTTATTATATTTTTCAAACAGACATGTAGTTGTCTACATCTGCACTAATATAAAGAGGAAAGATTTGTTTGTTTGTTTTTTTTTTTATTTGATCGATAAACTTCGAAACTACTGAACCGATTAACAAAATTTCTTAAAATAGAGGGGTCAGCTGGTAATTATATCAAATTCACCACCATGACATCACAGATTATACGGAACATAATGTTGCCGCTTTCTAAACTGTAATTCCTTATAAAGTATAGATTTGACGCATATCCTCGATTTGAGTAGGTACGAAAAATAAGCGGTTTTATAAATTATGGTTCATTTTTCGTAAATTATGTAATTTTTACAAAATGTTAATTATTTAATATAAAATAATTAACCCCTACTTGAGGGAATACACTACTGAGCACTTCCATGATTTACCATCAGCGCCACCTACTAGACTTTGAATGAACAGATTACAAATTTCGCATTACAAAAATATCGACAACAACTACATGTCTGTTTGAAAAATATAAGAAAGTAGCAACACTACAATTGTCAAGTTCAGGGCGTGCCCACTGAGGCGACTTTTGTTGGCAACTTATCGGAAGCACCTCTCACACATTTTAGAAAAACCAGAGATCCGGGAGTCACCGAGCAATTAAGTCGCCTGTGTTACCGGGGTCTTACTCTTTCGACTTTACAAACAAACTTTGGTAATTTCACAACAATTGTATAACAGCGCACAGGCAAAACTACTAGACCTAGAACTTTGAAATTTTGCTCAAAGTTAAACCGGAGAAGGAAAATTATGACTACGAAAGGATTTAAAAAAAATCATCCTTTAAGGTGGTAAGACAGAGGATGAAAGTTTGCACGAAACTTGATGGTTTGCTTAAAAATGGGGTGGCGCTAGGCGGAAAACATGTAACTTAAAGTCAGCCAGGACACCACAGCATGGTCTGCCCACATAGTAATAGCTTTTTAATCCTCAACTTCACGACCAAATTCATACTTTTGAGTTAGTGAGCTTCCAGCAGAAAGTGCCATTTTGAGTAGCGTTATACTCGTAAAGTATTAGATTATGAAAAATGTTACTAAGGGCAATGTTGTGCAGAAATTTACGCGTAACATATCTTCCATACAAGGTTTATTTATAGCACTTACAAGTTTTGAGTTATTACAAAATAACAAAATTTCGGCCAATAAAATAAGTTTGAAATGGCTGCCATTTTTTTTTTAGTAAATATGCCAGCAAGGCCCCGGCTCGAAATAGATAAAGAATAGCCTAAAGATTCGTTTCCAAGGCGGGGCTAAACTGGAACACGCACGGGAACTCCCAAAATTTTTTTGTATAGAAATTCTCACCTACTAGTAGAGATGGCAATTTGACTAATGCAATTTAAAAAACATAATCACATAAATTTGACATCTTCGGAAGATTGATTTCCGAAAACAGTAGTCGATTTTAATGTCTAATAAAAAAATGGGAGGTGATTCACATAGGGTGATTACTTTTGGCCCACCTTGTACTTACAAACATACAAACATACATACATACAAACAAACAAACATACATTCATACAAACAAACATACATACATACTCTCGAAAAACATAACCCTCCTTCTGAGGCAGCCGGGTAATAAGTCTGAAATAAAGTGATTTAGCTTCCCCTAAATTACGCAAAATGTTTTGATGCGGTTTTTTGTAATAGTTAGCTAGGCTAGGCGACCGTAGCTCAGTTGGCAGAGAGCGGTGGAACGGTGATCCACAGTCCCGGGTTCAAGTCAAGGCGGTCGCTAGCGTTTTTTTTTTCATTTTTCAATTTGTGAGCATAGTATTTGTCTGCTATCTCACCTGTTTGTAAGGGCGTCCATGTTTCATGGGGAAAGTTGTTGAGTTTCATGAGTACCTTGACCTCCTTTCGGCTTGTTATACCCTTTCCGTTATTCCCGGTATAAGCAAGCTACAGAGTGCGCTTAAAAATTTAGAATGGTTGTAAGTAGGCACTAAACCTCTCTGTCCATCAGTAGCAAAACGCCAGTGACAGCACTATTGAACTTCTATAGCTTCTCATACATTTAACGTCAATATCTAGGGAGCAACTGCTTTCGTTTTAACAGTATGCCGCAGGACCTTACGCGCACTCTATAGCTTGCTTATACATACTCTAAGTGCTTGCTTTACATAAATAATATAAATATACATACCTGAATGTTCCAGTCTTTGATAAATTATCTATGTATTGTAAAATAAGCGCTTCTATCGTGTCAGCTTTGGTTTGGTCTTCGTACAGCGATCTGGAAAAGACAAATTTATGGTTAGGTAACTATCATCATCATCTTCCTGCCCTTATCCCAATTACTTGGGGTCGGTGCAACACGTTTCGTTGAACACAAAATCGTGTTGCAAAAGGATTTGGCTGAATTTTACGACCGGCCGTCTACCAGACGTCAACCCTCCTTGGGAATGTTTTTGTGGTGGATTATATAACCGCCACCATACGGTTGGCCATGGCTGTTTGGGTAGGGTTCATCCTTCGGTCGCCTCTTACGACCCCCACGGGAAGAAAGGGGGTGGTGCTATTCTACTTTGCCGGCACCACACGGCATATGGTTAGGTAACTAATACATACAAATATCAAGCATTTATCTCTTGCGGGGTAGGCAGAGAGTTAACGGCCGCAAAAATACGTCACGTCGACAAATATTTGAGAGCAGTTTCAGAAAAGTATCACTGTTGTGTCAGTTTGTCAAGCAGTCGCCTTAAATTGTAATAAACAAGAAACTCTCAAGTCCCTTAGCCGCTTCTTACATGCACGAGGAGGAAATAGGGTGATGCTATTCTAAGCCGGCATCACGATACAAAAAGAGTAATAGCAACGATGTAAATATGACCTCTAAATGTATTTCAAGTATAAGGCTAACATTCACCGAAATAGCCTTTTTATGCCTTGCCGTGTGATGCCGGCTTAGATTAGCATCACCTCATTTCTACCCGTCGGTGTCGTACAAGGAATGGATCCCGGGAATGGGCAGCAGTGTTCCCGGCCAGCACAACACCTTGCACAGCGCTCGCCAAGTGTGGTGAGTATGACAATACCTCCCAATTGGGGTAGGCCTATGTCCAGCGTCGGGCTTTTGTGGTTGTAGCAGTAGTAGCCTTATTATGCTATAGTTTTCGATTTCTAAACGTTTACGTTTTGGTAGAAAATAGCCACTGCTGACATCTGATCGTTTGCCAACTCGGCGTGAGATGGCAGCACTAGGTTTTTAAAACGCGCTATCGTCGTGTTCACCACGTTAAATGAAGTTGTAGTAGCGGCGGTAGCGGCATTTTATTCAGGCGCCAGACTGATAGCTCATAGCAGCTAAAGTAAATTTTTGAAAACGGCTATCGAATGAAACTAAATCTAAGATAGACGTCATAAACACACGAAAAGAACATATTATATTGTAAGGGTAGATTCAGTTGAACCACGCGTGTTGAGCGCGTGTGAATAAAAAACATTACACTCCTTTTTTTGGTTGGGCAGTCGTGTAATAAAACCCACCAAAAACATTCTGTAAAAAACTAGCCAAGGTTCGATCACACACTATAATGGTAGGCTTATAAAACCAAGCATCAAATTTTGACGGCTTCGTTGTCGCTGCGGTCTTGTAGAAAAACCCGACCAAAGCCCGACCGCATCCCATACAAACCCTGAGCTTCTCAGCGCGCTGTCAACGTGACGGCGACGCGGCGGCGTCGTTGACGCTGACGCCCGGTCTTGCTGGTATCCCCATACAAACCAGTCATTTGACAGCGACAACGACGCCGCCGCGACGCCGCGACGCTTGGAAAATAAGGGTACCATAAGCGCCGAAATTACTTATGTACAATACATATCAATACGGCGACCGAATTTCGGCTGAAAGTGTCTCCTCCTCCGTAATGCAAATAACATTGCTGACGTAATTGCGCCGAATTCCGTTGCGTAATATCGGTCGTAGTCTTATTACGCCTTGCCGTGTGATGCCGGCTTAGAATAGGATCACCCCATTCCTACCGCTGTCGACTTGAACCTTTTTGGACGTGATCATTCTACCTACGTGCAAACGTGTTCATGTATGGTAGATTACGGCTCGAGACACTGGAATGCAGGCGGAAGAACGTGCCCAAGAAGAGATGAATCAAGTTTGAAGTTTATTTATTTCATATAACAGTAACACTGTGTGCGAAAATTTACATATTAGGTAGGTACATAATTCAATAATAGTGCAAGGTCTAATAATCAGCTCACAATAATAAAATAATAAATGATAAAATATGTTACATAATCTGCCGATTCCATCCACGTGCAGATTCAAGCTGACCACGGGTGGTCATCACACGAAGTGCTGAGTCTACAGTTCGACCCCTCCAAGACTACAGCTGAAGACCAGTATAAAGCCGGGCTTCAGCATCGAACCAGCACTTCTGTCCTCACACATAGAGGGCAAAGTCGCCTAGACTAGTTTAGATTATACTTTACGCCTAGACTAGTTTAGTTTTAATGTTAGACTAAGTTTAAATTGTAACATAGCTTTCACACATCGAAACTATGTTACGTTTAATAAATTATTATAGTTTAACTTCATCCTGCATTTTTTTCAAAGTCCTTCCCGCTGCGGTTCTATCATTTGCGGCAACTTCATGTTTTTTGCTATCGGATATCCAGGTTTATAAAATTGTATCTGCAACATTTCTACTAGTGTAGACGGGCCACACATCGTCCACATAGACTCTTGAAATACATAACCATCCTTCTCAGGCAACCGGGTAAAACGGCGATAGATGGCAGCACTAGGTTTTTAAAACGCGCTATCGATGTGTTCACCACGTCAAATGACATTCTAGTAGTGTCATTTTATTCAGTAATATTTAACATAACGCACACGTTAAAGCAAATTTTTGAAAACGGCTATCGAATAAAAATAATAAGATAGACGATTAAACCACACGCACATCAAGACACGCGGCAGCGTGTCCAGCCAAGTTCAAGCAAAGAACTGGCGGACCGGGCCGTGTGTATATTTACACGAACCATTTGGAGCCACTTTTTACCCCCTCATAACTCCAAATCTATTTAAGATAGGCACACCAAATTTAATAAGCATGTTCAGACCTCCGAGATGACCTAGTATACCAAATTTCATAAACATAGGTTGAACGGTTATGAAAATATTGACGATCAAAAATCGCCATTTTTACCATTCACTGACATACCTATAGATCAAAAACCTAACCCACTTCTAGATGACCTAGAGACTTAAAATTTCGCATACACCTAGATAACTATGTGAATATAAAACAAACACCTTAAAATCTAGAGCACCTCACAGTACTGCTTGGCTAGTTTTTAATAGGACTTCAAATATTGATTAGAGTAGATAATAAACAAGATATTAAACAATTACGATAAAGTGATAAGATAAAAGCATATGAAATTGTGAAAACTAGCCCAGTCAAACTGTGAGGTGCTCTAGATTTTAAGGTGTTTGTTTTATTTAGTAAAGAATGTTAAGCGACCTTATGAAGAGATTAATTTTAGGAATATTTACTGAACTTGGCGACCATGTTCATATCAATACTTTTTTCGGTATAACGTCGAACTTGGCTACCAATTTTCACATTTATGTTTTTGGTGGGTACAAGGATACATTAAGTTGCAACACGCGTGTTGAACGCGTGTGAATACTAAAGTCATACGAGCAAAGTGTAAGAAATAGAAAAGTGCAAACGGGTTTACAAGATTTTAACGAAAAATCTATAAAATGTTTGTTGTGAACTTGAGACCAGCGAATCGACTGGTCCATCCGTAATGTGGCCTATGCAAAGAAACTACAGGCTACAACCATACAGGTATTCATCAACATTTGACTCGCAGCATTTAAAATCAACAACTACACGCTTATTACGCGGCAACTTCACATTTTTTGCTTTCGGAATCCATGTTTATAAACATTGTATCTGCAACATTTCTACTAGTGTAGAAGATCCACATACATACACTCTTGTCCACAAAATATAAGATTACATTTAATTAAGTACAAATCACTTAAGGGTAACTTGAGACCAGCGGATCGACTGGTCCGTCCGTACTGAGGCCTATGCAACGAAACTACAGGCTACAACCATACAGGTATTCATCAACATTTGACTCGCAGCATTAAATATCAACAACTTCACGCTTGTTACGCGGCAACTTCATGTTTTTGCTTTCGGATATCCAGGTTTATAACATTGTATCTGCAACATTTCTACTAGTGTAGAAGATCCACATACATACACTCTTGTCCACAAAATATTAGGTTACATTTATTTAAGTACAAATCACTTAAGGGTGTGATCAGTCGCAAAACTGAACAACTTATGTTAGAAACTTTTCTTCAAAATATGAAAAAAAAAATGTACCTCCCGTATTATGTAACACTTTTTCAACATTTTTGTATGGGAGAGCCAAATTTTTTTTTTCATATTTCGAAGAATAGTTTCTAACAAAAGTTGTTCAGTTTCGTGAGTAGACCACACCCTCCAGAGATTTGTACGTAATTAAAGTAATCCTTTAAACCCCCCTTCTCAGGTAGTCTGGTAAAACGTCGCTAGATGGCAGCACTAGGTTTTTAAAACGCGCTATCATTGTGTTCACCACGTTGAATGACACTGTAGGCTTTATTTACACGCGTCAGATCATTTACAATGAGCGAACTGTTTCTTATAATTTTTGAAAACGGCTATCGAATGAAAATAAATATAAGATAGACGTTATCAGTTTTATGT